CCCCGACGGTGGACAATGCGTTATCCTTCATTGTGCCTCGCTATCTTTCTCCTTTAAATAAGCTTTCGCAAGTGGCTGCTCGCTAAAAAGAAGCACCGAGAATGCGAAAAGGGGACAAAGGGAATGCATTTCCGTCGCTCATCTCTTTTTTAACTTCCTGCCAAGGAGAGTCCTAAACGCCGGCGTATCTAAAATACACGTTTAACACAGAACTTGGAAGAATATTTGTGAAAACGACTTCCTTCAAATTTTCAAGCGTCAATGTTTTCTTTGGCAACGTCGCAATTATAACCATTGTAACGATAATTACTTTCGGGAGTTCTATAAAATGAGAAGTCTGCAAATCTGGAACGGTCGTTCCCAACTAAAAATCGTTACTGCGCGCAATAACGAACGGGAAGTATTTTTTAACGCCTCTCGTGCACAAACTGCTACAGAATTATAAATATATTAGGCCAGCTTCTTATATTTACGAAAATAAAATTTCTTGTAAGGAAATTGTTAGAATTATGTGAAAGAAGTGGATACTTAACTCGATCCAATATTTCGTGTTAATGAATACTTATTACTAGTAAATAAGATTGATTATAGATAGATCAAAGTACACGTGTTCTTCTCGCGCCACCATCTTGTTCTTTAGGTATGTTCAATGTCGACAGTCCCACAGATTCTTTAAAATCCTGATGTTTCAGTCTAAGTAGACTATCAATTCCCAACTCGATTCCCAAGCAGTTCGACACTGTTAACTTATTAGTTTCAGTATCCTCCTTACAGCCAATTAAAATTTATATAAACTATCAACGGGTGTACCAGAATCATAGAAAAAGAAATAATGTACAACTTGATGAAAGGAACCACTGACTCCGGCTTGTTTAAGACCGCACCAGACCCTTTTTAGTTACTTTAATTAGCTTTAGTTTCCCCATTCTAACTCTAGACTACTTTCATGACATGTCCTTTCCTTCAGATCGAATCAAGTATTCCATTCCATCCTCAAAGTGTTGCTTTACATCCATAAATATATCTTCTTCTAAAGCTCCATTGAGATAGGCTGTAGTTCTTAGTTCGAAACCAGGAAACCAAAGCTGTCATCAATCGAATTGCATTCATTCAACTTACTGATGAAGAGGTTCCTCTGAAATCTATCCCTTAACGTTGACTGCAACCCTTCACTACTATTCTCACTTTTGTCCCTCCTCTTCCATCTTGGTCTCTCTTTATCGCGAGTACAAATCTACTTCTTACGAAATCACGAGTTGCTTTGTTATCCGACGATTTTCCAGGAGTCGTTCCTTATTAATAGTTTTATTCCCATCCCCCATGCAGGGCATAGATAGTCATATATAGGATGAGTTTATGGACGACCAGTAGCTCTACATATTTGTTGCATCTGTTCAGTTAATCTTTTGTTCGTCTTAGATAAACTGCTATTCCAAATATACCGCACTTCCTCTATATATTCCTGTATTTCATCTTCGGTCTTAATCAGTGCAGCACATACATAGTCATGTATAGGATGAGTTCGTGGACGACCAGTAGCTCTACATATTTGTTGAACCTTCTCAGTTAATCTTTCATTCGTATTAAACAACTTAGTATTCGAAATATGCTGCACGTACTCTATATATTCCTGTATTTCATCTTCTGCTTTAATCACTGCAGCACATACATAGTTATACATAGAATAAGTTCGTGGTCGACCAGTTTGTTGCATCTGTTCAGTCAATCTTTCATTCGTATTAAACAACTTAGTATTCGAAATATGCTGCACGTACTCTATATATTCCTGTATTTCATTTTCTGCTTTAATCACTGCAGCACATACATAGTCATAAATAGAATAAATTCGTGGTCGACCAGTTTGATGCATCTGTTCAGTCAATCTTTCATTCGTCTTAGACAAACTGGTATTCCAAATATGCACTCGCTCTATATTTTATTGTTGAAATGGGTTACCAATTAGGTGTAAATAGGGTTAACGGAAGTATTACGGTATATACAGTCGCCGCGGAATGTATGTTGACACGTCTCAAAAGTGCATATTTTCTATTTCAAATCAATAATTTAGGAATTAATCGAAAATATATATTAGGTATGTTATTTAATATAATACTAACTATTATGTGTGGCACCAAAGAGGACATAAAGTTTATAATAATGGCAGAAAAAATTAAATAACTTTTTTATCGATTGCGGAAAGTATGTTGACAGCATTGAAAGATTCGTAATTGAGTGTATACTTAACAATAAAACAACATAATTAATATTATATGTAGTAGTAAGTATTATATGTAGGGCATTGCTCAACATTGAAAAAACAACAAATAAATCATTAATTAACACCTACTATACAAATATATTATAACAAAATAAGCTCAAAGTTGCGTGTCAACTTACTTTCCGCGTGAGCCTTTTATGCAAATTTAAAACCATACGTCTGTTATTTATAGTTTCCTGAACTAAACTAAACAATAAGCTAGCAGAACTAAACAATAAGTGATAATTAACTTCAGAGCTTGGAAAAAAAAATATGAACACTTGGCTTTTCATCAGAAATACATACTTCCGAACATGTCAACATACATTCCGCGGCGACTGTAGTTAGAATGAGTGAATAAGACAGCCAAGGTTCAGAGTCGAATCTGGTATTGGAGTTGGTCAGATTCCTTGATGACTCCCCTAGACATGAAAACCACGACGGTGAAAAGTGACTGGCAGACTCGAAGTAGAGGGTGGCGAGGGAAGACCTGGTGGAGAGTGGTAAATAGGACGGGATGGAGAGATGTCAATTTATCCTGGCTTTGTTTACGAACGATGCCCCGAGACACACCGAGGGGACTCGTCGGCTAGTCGACTGCCAGGGGAAAAAGAGACGGATAGAAGGGGAAAAGCCCGTTAATCCGGGCAAAAGACTAGCCGACGGCTTGGCATTCGTCTTTTTGAAGGAGGCTGGCTTTAAGTTATATCGGTGTCCCGCTATCCAAGAGCACGACCTACCCGATGAAGGTATACATAAGAGAGGGCGAGCACTCTTCTTCCACGAAAGTCAGTGATAAGGTGACGACGAACGGAGGCAATGGTCTGCACAGGAAAAAGAGCTCGTCGTCGTCGTCCTTGTATCCTAAGCTTCAGCGGTGCATCATCTGCGCCACTGTTACGGGCCACGTAAATATCGGATATTCCATGGAAGATAATTTAACGACCTTCCTATTGACTCACTTGCATTTCCTTTCTTTTTTGTTGGGCAGTGTTTCCAAGGTCCCCGACAGACGAGCTGTTTATTAAGAAATTGGTCGAAGTCAGGAAACCAAAAAAATTGTATGTATTTCATTTATTACAAAATACATTACATCGTAATGGAAGAATTTTTGTCGAGTTGCTGTGAAATAAGCAATAAAACTTTATGTTTACTTTGATAGTGACGTGTAATTTTTTCCCTATGTGTGGCGATTGATCAATAACATTGTCGTACAAATATAATTCTTTCTACGTGCCCGAAGAATATTATAAATTAATGGAAAAATGATTGACTTTACTATAAATCGTATGACACGAAAAATGCAGAAAATACAATTCATAAAAAAAAGTTAAGTAAAAAGTGGCAAACATGGTCTTAAATAGATTTCACATTAACAGAACATTTAATTTGTTATACATTTTGCATTACAGTGGAAAAGTATTTAGTATGGTCAAACATAAACGTTTAAATATCTCCAAACGGGAAATATATAATTTTCATAATAACTAGCACAGATATGGGAAAAAGAAAAATTTGAATTCAATAAATTCAAACATTTGATTTCATTAAAGTTGAAATGTGTTCGTCGATATTTATCAAAAATACTTTCCATTAGAGGAAATAATATAATATCCGGTATCATCTAATAACAGACTAATGATGACGAGAGCATTATTTCAAATTGATGATTAACGGTAGCATATCCCGTCCCGTAATTAACACGTGAATTTTCGCGGGGCTGTGTTCAATTATTAAATGATGTACTAGTTGTCTTCGTATTCGGAATTATTGCGGAAATTTATCTGAGAATTATGAGGTTGAAGGGTGGACCGCGGTCAAAAGTAATGCCCTTAATATTTTTGAATTAAATATTGACCGGCTGGATGAAAAAGTTCTCTCTGTGGTCGAGTAATAAAATTAAGCTCTACTCAGCCATGCGATACGCTGTTAATTTTGTCTACGCCCACCGTTAATTTAATGCCCCGTGTCAACATGAACGTTGCAACGTTCATCTACTACTAGCTAACACCAATGAAACATCATTGTCCACGACGAATCGTAAAATTCAAAGCCACAAATGTGCTTCATTTTCAATTAACCATCAGTCGTTCTAAAATAATTTAAACAGAGTTGTCCATTCCTCTAAACAAATATGCACGGTGTTCGGCCAACCCTGGGAAAAATTTGAATGGGAGATTCTAGAGGACAAAATAAAACGATAATCAAGAATATTAATTTTTTAACTGAGGCTTCGTTAAAAAGTTATTAAAAAATTTCAAATCATTCTGAAAAAATTGTTTTTGGTTGTGGAGATCAATTATAATCATTTTTGGTGAATACACATACCCCCGAAATTTTATCCACTTTCGAGAAAAAAATTCGGATAGATGCTGAAATTTTTCAATGAAAAAAAATTTTTAAAATCGTTCTAAAAAAATTATTTTCCGTTGCAGGCGTCGATTATAATCATTTATGGTCATAACATATACCCCCAAAATTCTACTCAGTATCGAGAAAAAAATTCCTTACCGAAAATGTAACGTCAGACCATACATTGACATGTTTCACTGAAATTTCATGCGTATCTTTAAAACATCATAACTTTTGAACAGATTGGAGGATTTTAACGTTTCAAAAGGCAAACAACGCGTATTTTAATAGAGAATATGTAGAAATTCCAAGAATATTCGGAAAGTTGTTCCTTGACCCCATAAAGTGAGAAAAATCCCATAAAAATGGTCCAATCTTCAAACATTCATAACTTCTACAATAGTGAACGTATCTCAATGAAATTTAGTATGGAAGTAGAGTTCATAGGTACCTACAAATAAGTACTAAACAAAATTTCCGAAGGACGTCAAACAAATTTATTACAAATGAAAAACGAATTTTTAAGAAAAATCGACAGGGGAGTAGAGTAGGTGCTTAAATTGTTCAGCGAAAAAAAAAAATTTCAAATCGTTCTGGAAAAATTATTTTTGGTTGGAGGAGTCAATTACAATCATTTTTGGTCCATAGACATACCCCTGAAATTCTACGCGTTTTCGAGAAAAAAATTCAGTACGGGCGGAACTTTAAACATTAATAACTTTTTAATTACAATTTTTCCCAGGGGTGGCCGAACACCCTGTATATAGTTTAAGGTACAAAATGTCAGAAGAGTTTGTAACATTATATTTACAACAAGAATAATGTACAACCTTTTACAATAATTTAATGCACCCTGGGTAACGAAAGTAAGTAAATATCACGATGTGTAACGATAAAATTCATTTTACTCGAGTGCACACTGAAAGCCATGTATAATGGCTTCCAATAGTTTGTAAGAGTCATTTGTTATGGAGAGGAAACGCTGAAGAATAAATATCTCACTCTGTTATTATTGTTCCACTCTTATTTTTAGTGCCAAGAAATTCGAACGAAAGAAGAAATACAAAATATTGTTTTAGTCATAGTTCGTTTACTGTAAAAAAACTTGAACCATTTTGTTGCACATTTTACGCGTGCAATGGCAAATGAATATATGTATAGGACTTATGCGAAGACTTAAAAAGATTTCATTTTAAGAAAAACCTGATTAACTACCAAAATGATGGATTTTCAACGAAAATCAGATTTTCCTACTTTTAAATATATGTACGATCACTTACAGTATTACATATTTAATTATCTAAAATTAACAAGTTGATTGCCACGGTGGACACTGGTGACCGGCACTTTAAACTTACAACGTGCTGCAATATTGTTTACAATGGAAGAATCCTAACACTTGTAAAATTGTAAACAATGCTTCTTTAATTTAGAATATAATAAAATAACAAATTCATCATTGCATTATCGAATATTTCTGTTACATGTTATAATTTGAATAAATGTTGTTAAACTGGTACTTCGAGTTTGAAAGCCTTTCTGGTAAGAAAAAATTCAAACGGACTTTTTCGTTAGCAAGTGTTTCGCAGGATAACAAGGAATGACAGTCACCCCCGTGACGTGGAATGAAAAAAGTTACGCGAACGTGGAAAACAGATCGCAAGTTACGATAAAAAAAGATTAAAGTTGAAGCAGTTTGGAAGATTAACTGCAACGCGAAATTTGCTAAAACTTTCTTCGTTGTCTTCTTCGATCTGTATTAAGCCAACAACAAACAAGTCGCTATAAAAACACATGACGGAAATGGTTGACGGGCGATCAGGAGCGTCCTCCTTTTCGGACCTATTAGACTTTATTTTTTTTATAAAGGGTATCATACCAGAGGATGTTAGGGAACTTTTCAGTCCTGAACTGAAAGCACGGGAAACGACACGCGAGCCAGTTACGGAATAAAAAGAAAAACTTTGGAAAACTATTGGGACAGGTTGGTTACAAAATACTCGACGTATCTATAAGATGATTTCAAATAGAATTGAAAAATTATGTAACATAAGTATTAAAATTGAAAAGACAGACATCACAATCGATAAAACAATAAGAAGAAAATAGTCTAGAGTTAATTATGTCTACGACGCGAAGTTTATTTCATTTTCAAATATAATTAGAAAAAAAACATTGGCTGTATAAAACTAATCGATGTAAAAGTAAGGTTTTGTTTTTTTTTATAGTTAATTATTTCTTAACACATTGACTGCCATGGTGGTCACTGGTGACCGGCACTTTAAATCTATAACGTGTTGTAAAACTGTTTACGATGGTAAAATCGTAATACTTGTGCAATTTTAAATAACCTCACTGACGTTGGAGATATAAAATAACAGATGTGCCATTGAATTATGGAATATTTCTATTTTTCACGCTATAATTTTAACAAATGTCGAGGATGTTTTTCGTCATGGAAAACTGGTATGGCAGCTAACGTGTTAAAGAACTTCTCTACATCTCCTATCAGTCTTAATGATACACAGTAGCTCACGAAAATATTCGAACGCATCAATACATCGTCAACAAATAAAATACACACGTTAGGTTTAAATTTTCAAAACAAACCTTAAATAAAGATACATTTCAGCACCTACTCGAATTTTTTTCTCGAAAGTGCGTAGAATTTTGGGGGTATATCTATTCACAAAAAATGATTGTAATTGACCCCCACAACCAAAAATAATTTTTTCAGAGCGATTTGAAATTTAATTTTTGAATAAATTTTTAACGAAGCCTCAGTCAAGAAATTGATATTCTTGATTTTCGTCTTATTCTGGCCTCTAGAATCTCCCATTAAAATTTTTCCCAGGAGTGGTCGAATACCCTGTATAATACTCCACGTACGCTACAAACTCCTCCGCAGAGTCCTGACATAGCTCCCATTGAACATCTATGAGCTGAAATTGGTAGAAAACTCAGAAATTATGACATAACGTCCAAGGAAATGTTAAAAACCAAAATAACAGAAATATGGTATTCCATTGAAGTAAAAACAACAGAAAAACTTGTATACAGTATGGAAAGCCTTCTAAACACGTTATTGATGCCAACTAGACATCAATATCAAACAAATGAAGACTTATTCGCACGTAGTATACTTTTCTGCCGTCCGTAAACGGTATGTTTACACTGAATGCCCTGTAAATTCTATATGTGTTTGTAATTTTACGTATACATTCTCGAGATTCCTATGTAATTTTACCTACAATCTTATTTTGCAAACTTAAACTTAACGTGCGTATTCTATTTGTTAAGAATGAGAATTGGAAGCGTTCGAATGCTTTCGTAATTTTTCGTAAAACACGTTTTTCGTAAAATTTCTATGAATGTGTACGATTGGAAATTTCCACCAGATGTTATACGTTAGAAAGGTATCAAGCAATTCGTTTGTTTTAATATTTGCGCAAAGTTATTGTGCTTTCTAAATTTCCCGTTCTTCCGGCTCGCCCTATATTTTCCTCGTCGTTCGACGTCGAGCATTTGTCGCGTTTCAATAGCGATAAAAAGTTATCGCCCGACGTCGAAAAATGTCTGTCGAGGACACGGAAAAAAGAGAAACGATGGGAGAACCGTGGAGCGGAATCAGAATTGGTAGCGTTTAATTCCCCAGTCGGAGTCCCCGGGAAAAGGAATGCGCCATCTTCATAGTTCCCGTCTACCTTCTTGTTCCCCACCTCATTCGCAGGACAATCATCTGAATTACGTCCGTTTACTATGCCGTAAGTCCATGCAGTCAGGTTTGCAAAGGAAGGTGCTAGCAGACGCAGCGTTAATTAACGTTGTATTTACTCGGGCGGAAGTAGGCTGATGCATCGTCACTGGCCTGACTTTGCACACTGACTTGCTCCACGACCTAAAATTATGTACAAAAGAACGAAACCGCGGAATACGTCGGTTGAAAAAGAGTATCAAGGCGGGGGACTTCTTACTTCTTTTACTTTTAATTACATATTCTTCTTTTTTCTCCTGAGTAGCGCCCTGGATATTTTTTAACCGAGCGTTTTAAAAATTACGCGTCAGCAGCGCGAGAAAGAGGACGCCGTTTATGGACGTATTTTCAACGCCCGTTAAGGACGCGTTTTAAATAGAGCGTCAACGTTAAGTGCTTTGTTTTATCGCGAAACAACGGAAATGACAATAACACCGAATTGTTTTTTCCGGCGTTGTTTGGTCGCCGCGGGACAAAATAAATTGTAAATGATTCGCTGAAATTTCGAAACGGACGTTAACTCCAATTTCTACGGATAGAGTTTCGAAAAGAGTACTAAATCCTCGACGAAAAAGGGTTACCACGCTTCTCGTCTTCTTTTCCGTCGACTTTGGATTTCTTTGCAACGACTCTACCGCGGATTTAGCATGGAATATTCATCTTGCCTCGTTTTCGCACTGCTGCGTACGCCATCTCGATTCCACAGATGGCTTATCCGCGACTTCGTGGAGAATCGACCTTAAAATTCATACGAATCGTTTCTCGTAAAAAAATGTTGCAGTTGCTCTTCTAAAAATGACGACGAATTCAGTTCGATCATGAACACAGCATGATATTTTATCCACAGAAATTATTTTTCGAGTTCGAAACAATGTATTTTAGAACATTTCAGTAATCAAAATTCAATGCAAACGTTTTAATTCAAGGATCAGAGTCATTCTCAAATAGTTATAAGTAGATCGCAGATCTTTATGTAAATTTATATTTTTATTAATAGAATTAATGAAATGGGAGCTTTGTAGAGGGTTGTCTCAAACACTAAATATAATACAATAAAATTCCGATTATCCAGTGTACTCAGGGCTAGGGCAATGCCGGAAAATCAAATATGTCGAAGAATTGGACTATACTTAGATATGAAGTGATAAAAACGAGTGGAACAAAATGTTAAGGAGATCGTGCATCAAATTGTAAGGGGATCCTTGTAAGAAAGTTTTAATCTTCGACTTCGTGATAGTTTTAATGAGTCATTGATTGATGGTCAACAATGAGGTTGATATCAAGGTCAGCGCTCCAATGAAGACCAAGGAAATGCGAAGAGGTAGAACCAACGAAAGACATTCACTACTGTTTTTTATGGGATTTTTCTTACTTTACGGGATTAAGGAACAGCTTTTCCAACATTTGTAGAATCTCTAAATATTCTTCATCAAAACAGGCGTTGTTTGCATTTTGAAACATTAAAATCTTCCGATTCGTTTAGGAGTTATGTGAGATTTCGTGGGTATGTGTATTTACAAAATATAATTGTAATTAACCCCACTAACCAGAAATAATTTTTTCAAAATGATTTGAAATTTTTTAATTTAGTCGAAAAATTTATTCACTTACCCCCCATCGATTCTTTTTTTAAATTTGTTTTTGATTTTTAATGAATTTCTTTGACGCTCTA